TCATATCCATCTCTCTATAATTTCTCTCTCATATCCATCCCTCTATAATCCCTCTCTCATATCCATCTCTCTATAATCTCTCTCTCATAATCATCCCTCTATAATCTCTCTCATATCCATCTCTCTATAATCTCTCTCTCTCATATCCATCTCTCTATAATCTCTCTCTCATATCCGTCCCTCTATAATCCCTCTCTCATATCCATCTCTCTATAATCTCTCTCATATCCATCCCTCTATAATCTCTCTCATATCCATCTCTCTATAATCTCTCTCTCATATCCATCTCTCTATAATCTCTCGCTCATATACATCTCTCTATAATCTCTCTCATATCCATCTCTCTATAATCTCTCTCTCATATCCATCCCTCTATAATCCCTCTCTCATATCCATCTCTCTATAATCTCTCTCTCATATCCATCTCTCTATAATCTCTCTCTCATATCCATCTCTCTATAATCTCTCTCTCATATCCATCTCTCTATAATCTCTCTCTCATATCCATCTCTCTATAATCTCTCTCTCATATCCATCTCTCTATAATCTCTCTCTCATATCCATCTCTCTATAATCTCTCTCTCATATCATCTCTCTATAATCTCTCTCTCATATCCATCTCTCTATAATCTCTCTCTCATATCCATCTCTCTATAATCTCTCTCTCATATCCATCTCTCTATAATCTCTCTCATATCCATCTCTCTATAATCTCTCTCTCATATCCATCTCTCTATAATCTCTCTCTCATATCCATCTCTCTATAATCTCTCTCTCATATCCATCTCTCTATAATCTCTCTCTCATATCCATCTCTCTATAATCTCTCTCTCATATCCATCTCTCTATAATCTCTCTCTCATATCCATCTCTCTATAATCTCTCTCTCATATCCATCTCTCTATAATCTCTCTCTCATATCCATCTCTCTATAATCTCTTTCTAATACCCATCTCTCTATAATCTCTCTCTCATATCCATCTCTCTATAATCTCTCTCTCATATCCATCTCTCTATAATCTCTCTCATATCCATCTCTCTATAATCTCTCTCTCATATCCATCTATCTATAATCTCTCTCATATCCATCTCTCTGTAATCTCTCTCTCATATCCATCTATCTGTAATCTCTCTCTCATATCCATCTCTCTATAATCTCTTTCATATCCATCTCTCTGTAATCTCTCTCTCATATCCATCTCTCTATAATCTCTCTCTCATATCCATCCATCCATCCATTTTCTTCCGCTTTATCCGTTGCCGGGTCGCGGGGGCAGCAGTCTAAGCAGAGACGCCCAGACTTCCCTATCCACACACACTTCCTCCAGCTCGTCCGGGGGGACCCCAAGGCGTTCTCAGGCCAGCTGGAGTCCCTCCAGTCATAGGTCTTCCGCGGGGCCTCCTCCCGGTGGGACGTGCCCGGAACACCTCCCCAGGGAGGAGTCCAGGAGGCATCCGGAACAGATGCCCGAGCCACCTCAACTGGTTCCTCTCGACGTGGAGAAGCAGCGGCTCTACTCCGAGCTCCTCCCGTGTGACTGAGCTCCTCACCCTATCTCTAAGGGAGCAGCCACTCTGCGGAGGAAGCTCATTTCGACCGCTTGTATCCGCGATCTCGTTCTTTCGGTCATTACCCAAAGCTCATGACCATAGTTGAGGGAGGGAACGAAGATTGACCGGTAAATCGAGAGCTTTGCCTTTCGGCTCAGCTCCCTCTTTACCACAACGGTCCGATACAGCAACCGCATCACTGCGCACGCTGCACCGATCCGCCTGTCAATCTCACGCTCCATCCTCCCCTCACTCGTGAACAAGACCCCGAGATACTTGAACTCCTCCACTTGAGGAAGGACCTCTCCACCCACCTGCAGAGGGCAAGGCACCTTTTTCCGGTCGAGCACCATGGCCTCGGATTTGGAGGTGCTGATTCTCATCCCAGCCGCTTCACACTCGGCTGCAAACCGCCCCAGTGCATGCTGCAGGTCCTGGTTCGTTGGAGCCAACAGGACAACATCGTCCGCAAACAGCAGAGATGAAATCCTTTGGTCTCCGAACCGCACCCCCTCCGACCCCTGGCTGCGCCTAGATAATCTGTCCATAAATACAGTGAACAGAACCGGTGACAAAGGGCAGCCCTGTCGGAGGCCAACATTCACCGGGAACAGGTCTGACTTACTGCCGGCAATGCGAACACAGCTCTGGCTCCGGTCATACAGGGATCGGATGGCCCTCAGCAGAGGACCTCCGACCCCGTACTCCCGGAGAACCCCCCAAAGGACACCCCGGGGAACACAGTCGAACGCCTTCTCCAAATCCACAAAGCACATGTGGACAGGTTGGGCGAACTCCCATGAACCCTCGAGTATCCGATGGAGAGTATAGAGCTGGTCCAGTGTTCCGCGACCGGGACGAAAACCACACTGCTCCTCCTGGATCCGAGATTCGACCATCGGCCGTAACCTCCTCTCCAGTACCTTGGAGTAGACCTTACCGGGGAGGCTGAGGAGTGTGATCCTGCGATAATTGGAACACACCCTCCGGTCCCCCTTCTTGTAGAGAGGGACCACCACCCCGGTCTGCCACTCCATTGGCACCGCCCCCGATCGCCACGCGATGTTGCAGAGACGTGTCAGCCAAGACAGTCCTACAACATCCAGAGACTTTAGATAATCAGGGCGGATCTCATCCACACCCGGAGCCTTGCCACCATGGAGGCTGCCAACCACCTTGGTGACCTCAGCCAGGGAGATGGAAGTATCCGCCCCAACATCCTCAGCCTCTGCCACTGTAACAGAGGACGTGACGGGGGGATTGAGGAGAACCTCAAAGTATTCCTTCCACCGCCCGACAATATCCCCAGTCGAGGTCAGCAGCTCTCCACCCGCACCGTACATGGTGTTGGCAAAGAACTGCTTCCCCCTCCTGAGGCGCCGGATGGTTTGCCAGAATCTCTTCGAGGCCGACCGATAGTCATGCTCCATGGACTCTCTGAACTCCTCCCAGTCCCGGGTTTTTGCCTCTGCAACAGCCCGGGCCGCGGTACGCTTGGCCTGCCGGTACTGGACAGCTGCCTCAGGAGTCCCCCGAACCATCATGGCTCGATAGGACTCCTTCTTCAGCCTGACAGCATCCCTTACTGCCGGTGTCCACCACCGGGTTCGGGGGTTGCCGCCGGGACCAGCACCAGAGACCTTGCGACCACAGCTACGAGCCGCCGCATCGGCGATTGAGGCAGAGAACATGGTCCACTCGGACTCCATGTCCCCCTCCTCCGCCGGGACCTGGGAGAAACTCTCCCGGAGGTGTGAGTTGAAAGTCTGACAGGGGCCTCAGCAAGACGTTCCCAGCAGACCCTCACTATACGCTTGGGTCTGCCAGGTCTGACCGGCTTCTTCCCCTGCCAGCGGATCCAACTCACGACCAGGTGATGATCGGTTGACAGCTCCGCCCCTCTCTTTACCCGAGTGTCCGAGACACGCGGCCGAAGGTCAGATGATACGACAACTAAGTCGATCATCGACCTCCGGCCTAGGGTGTCCTGGTGCCACGTGCACTGGTGGACACCCTTGTGCTCGAACATGGTGTTCGTGATGGACAGGCCGTGACTGGCACAGAAGTCCAACAATTGAACACCGCTCGGGTTCAGATCAGGGGGGCCGTTCTTCCCGATCACCCCTCTCCAAGTGTCACTGGCGTTTCCCACATGGGCGTTGAAGTCCCCCAGGAGAATAACGGAGTCCCCGGGCGGTGCACCGTCCAGTACCCCTCCCATGGACTCCAAGAAGGCCGGGTACTCTACACTGCTGTTAGGCCCGTAGGCCGTCACAACAATGAGAGACTTGTCCCCCACCCGGAGGCGGAGGGACGCGACCCCCTCATTCACCGGGGAGAACTCCAACACGTGGCGGCTGAGATGGGGGGCAATGAGAATGGCCACCCCAGCTCGCCGCCTCTCCCCGCGGGAAACTCCAGAAAAGTGGAGCGTCCAACCCCTCTCAAGGAGTTGGGTTCCAGAGCCCAAGCTGTGTGTGGAGGTGAGGCCGACTATCTCTAGTCGGTATCGCTCAACCTCCCCCACGAGCTCGGGCTCCTTCCCCCCCAGTGAGGTGACGTTCCACGTCCCAAGAGCCAGATGTTGTGTGTGTGGACTGGGTCGCCGAGGTCTCCGCCTTCGACTGCTGCCCAGTCCTCTCTGCACCGCGCCACCACGGACCCCTCTCATATCCATCTCTCTATAATCTCTCTCTCATATCCATCTCTCTATAATCCGGGCTCAGTGTTATTTTGACATTACAGAAACATGACACAGATGAAGGCAGCGTTCCGAGCCACAGCCGGAGACAACCCTCAGATTATTCTTTATTAGCGGCGAAACACAAAGTGGTGCCGCGGCGTCTCTGTGGAAACACAATTTCAGGCTCCACTTGTCTCCTGCTGCAGCGGCACGTTCTGGAGACGCATCTCGGTGTTTTGGCGTCGAGTTAGATCCAGTAAACGTCCAGGTCTGATTGGAGAAAGTCGTCGTGTGTTTCGGATCCAGAACACGACGGAGAATCTTAGTTTTCACCGCAGTGGGTTTGACTTTGTTTATTGATTTAAATAAATGTATTTTAATCTGGAGACGATTTATTGGTTCCAATTGTTGTTTATTAGTTTGGCGCAAAAGGTGGAGAGGAGGGGGAGGAGGTGGGCAGGAGGAGGAGGAGGAGGGGAAGGTGGAGAGGAGGAAGAGGAGGAGGGGAAGGTGGAGAGGAAGGGGAGGAGGTGGGGAGGATTGGGTGGAGGAAGAGGTGGGGAGGAGGAGGAGGGGGAGGTGGGGAGAAGGAGGAGGAGGAAGAGGAGGAGGGGGAGGAGGAGGTGGGCAGGAGGAGGAGGGGAAGGGGAAGAGGTGAGGAGGGGGGAGGAGGAGGAGGGGGGGAGGCGGGGAAGGTGGGGAGGAGGAGGAAGAGGGGCAGTTGGGGAGGAGGCGGTGGGGAGGGGGAGGTGGGGAGGAGGTGAAGATGAGGAGGAGGAGGAGGGGAGGTGGAGGAGGTGGAGGAGGTGGTGGCTCCTCCACCTCCTCCACCGAGGCTCAAAAGGCTGTTTTGGTTTCTTTTCAGAGCTGGCTTGATTGGCGGCTGGCAGGGAGTTAAAGAACTCCCCCTGACCCCGGCACCTCCCGCTACTTGATAAAAAAATACCTCTCTTACGCTCGCCCTTAGTTCCCTGTCGCTCTCCTTTCGTTTGTGACCCCTGTACCTCCCTCCCTGTCTCTCTTCCTACTGTCTCCCCCCAAACCCCCTCCTCCGCTGGCTGACACCTCTACCAACACCTTCGTACTCCCCGTCTGCCTCTCTGGAAAAAAAAACCCCTCCTTCTCTGCTCTTACTGACATGCGTAAAAAAAAAAGAACCTCCCCTGACTCACTGATCTCTTCTCTGCCCCAAAAAAACTTACCACCCTAAACTCCTGCCTGCGGCCCCTGCCCTGCTTTCTCTCTACTCCTGTTGTCCCCCAAAAAAAACTGTCCCCCTGTCCTAACCCCTCTCTACCCCTAACCACTTCCTCAAAAAAAAAAAACTTGGTGACTCTCCCTCACCTCCCCCCCCCTCTCTGCCTGCCTTTTTTCCTCTTGTGCTTTAACCCTGTTTGCCTCTCTACTCACTCTGTGACCACTTGGCTTGGACCCTTGCCCCTTACCCCCTCCTGACTTCCCTACATGACCCTGTGGTCTTGCGTCTTCCTGTCTTGCTCTTACTTTGCTGTCTCCTGTCTGCCACTTGATCTGCCCCCCTGCTCTCTTCACCCCCCCTTGTCCTCCCCGGCTTTGTCCTCCTCGTTCCTCCTCTTCTGCCTTCTGACCTACCCTCCTTCCCTGACAACCTGTACCTGCCCCAAAAAACCTCCATTGTCCCTCCATCTCTCGACAGTCCCCCGCTCGAGGGTCGCTTACAAAAAACCTGCCTTTTTGGCACCTGCTTGGCGAACTTCAAAAAACCTCTCGTGCGTTGCGAAAACCTGGATCTCACTGACTCTCACCCTCTCCTACCACGTGGCTTCCCCCCTGGTATCGCTGAGCCCCGGTTGCTCTGCGGGCGCGGCGGCCTCGGGGGTCGGCCCCTACGGAGTTGCCCCGCCTGTCCTGCCCTTCTTTGGGTGACCCTGACTGCTTCACCCCCCCAAGACGTTCAAACCTGTCTCCCCTACCCTCGCTCCGACACGGGCACCTGCTGCCGGCCGAACCAAACCACCCCCGGTTGGACTGAATAAAAACCGTCGGGCCCCGCTCCCGACTTGTCCGTGTAGGCCCCGGTCCCCGGCCTCCTCGTCCTCTGCTGTCGCGCCCCCCTCCTGAACCGTACCTCACCCCCCTTTCGTTGTGCCCTACCTCCCGACCACTCCTAGTTTGCCTGCTTCCTTGGTCCTTTGCACTGCCTCCCCTGCCCCCCCTTCCTCTGCCTACTCCTTCGCTGCTGCCCTTGTCTCCTCAAAAAAACCCTCCCTCCATCCCTCTGCTTCCCCAAAACTGAACTCCTGGGTACTCCTGACCCCTGCCTGCGGCTCTGTCTCGGGCTGCTTGTTAGCCCTTTCCTGGTCCCTGTTTGTCACTTCGTGGTCGTGGGCCTGCTCCGGGTGACCTTCCGCCCGGCTGCCGCTTCAAATACCTACGCCCCTGGCCTCTTCCCCTCCCCTCCTTTCCTCTTGACCCCCTGGTGCCCTCGGCCCAACTGCTCTTTGCCCTGCCCTGCTGGACTCCTGGCGTTGGCTCGACTCCCTTTCCTTGCTTTCGGGTGTGCCTCTGGAAATACGCCCCTGGCACCTTTCTGGCCCCGACAGGCCGGTGCTACACCCGTACGTGGCACCCCACCCGTACCGGACCGTCGGTCCGGGGCCCCGAACCCCCCCTCCGTGTGTGCCGTCTCTTCTCAGCTCCCCCCCAACACCGTGACCGTTGGGGGGGGTGTGTGTTGCCAACCGCCCGGACTGCCTCCCCCGGGTACCTGCCGGGGCGCGCGCCGGGCCGGAATCTCTTACCCCGGTTCCCGTGTTCAACCCGTGCCGAGGTACCGGCGCCCGGCCACCCGGGGCGTCACGCCCCCCACCGGCGCAGTTTACCGAGGGCCCGCCCCGCCTCGGACACTGCTGGCCCCGGCCCCCCCCTCGTCCCCTGTGCCTTGCCCCGTCCGGCGGCCGTCGCTCGCGTCCGCGCCGCCCCGTTGCAACGCTCCGGCTCCCGGCCCCGTTCCTGTCGCGGCGACGCCCAGTGCCCCCCCTTGCTTAGCCGGGCCGTGTCCGCGCACTGGTACCCCTTCACTCCCCCGGTACTGCTGTACACTGTGGTCCTGCCTTCTGCCCCTGGCTCCCTTTCCCTCTCCCCCCCCTCTCGGATGGTCTGACGCCCCTCCCCCTGATTCGGCCAACTACTAGCTTCCCCGCATAACCTGCCTCTCCGTCGGCCCAAAACAAAAACCCTCCGCTTCCTCAATTACTACTACCGGGCGGCTACGTCCCTGCCTGTACTTCTGCCTGCGAACTACTGACTCCCTCCCGCCCTTGCGCCACTTCGCCCTCCCCTACAACTGACCCCTCGACGCTGGTCTCACTAAACCTGGGTCCCCCTGTACGGTTTTGCCCCTGCGCCCCGCTTCTCTTACTAGCGGCCTAGCCTCGCCGTCTCCTGAGCCTGGGGTCTGAGCTTGTCTCCCCGGACACCACCTTGCCTCGCCTACAACCGGCCCCCTGACTACCCCCCCAGTCCCCCAAACCTCACCTTTGGCTGCTCCACAAAAACGTGCAAAACCGGAACTCCCCACACCCTCGGCCCCGGACCGTGCCCACCTCGTGCTGACTGCGCTTTCAGGGGTAGCTTTACCCCGGCAGGAGGGTTACGCCGGGTGCTATATTATTAATATATTATTACGGTGCGCCCACCCCGGCCTCCCGCCGTCGGACCGGTGCCCGCGTGCCCCCGGTCCGGGCACCCCCCTCGAGTCTAATATATTATCCGTCCGCGGCGGCCGCTTCGGCCGCCTCCAGCCCCGTTGCAGGGTTGACGCGCCAGCCGTGTCGTCGGGGACCACACCGGCGGCGTCGGGTCTATTCGGCCGCCGGCGACCGTCAACACCACGGAACACGCACGCTTCCGGTGCACGGGCCGTTCACGGTCGCAACCAGGCGTACACTGTCACCCACCTTTTCACACCGCGAACTCGGCCAAGGGATGGACGGCCCCGGGCACCCCCCCGCTCCACCAGGCTCCCCCCCGGAATTATAATTCGCGGCACCGCGTCGTCGGACCCCGTGCCATACCCACCAGGGAACCTCCCCCAGGAGCCCGCCCCACCCGGCGGACCACGTGTACTCAGGCTCTCGTCCCTGTTCTCGTTCCCCCCCGTTGCCCCAGCGGGTTGCCGACCTCCACGCGGCGCCACGGCCGCACGGCCCGGCCGGCTACGGCACGGCACGGTAGCCCCCCGCCAACCCCCGAACACTGACGTGCCACCCCTGGCCCGGACCCCCCTCCTGTCCCGTCGCCTGTGGGGGACGACGGGTGCCCCCCTCCGGAATCCCTGGCCTACCCCTCCGGCCCAACGATCCCCCCGACCGGACGGGGGCGACAGGCCTCGCTGCACCGACCGCAACCTACGAGACCCGAGGTTCGGGTACCCCCTACCCCACCGCTTTCCCGTCGGAACCCGGCCGCACTCGGTCACAAACCGGCTTTCTCCCCCGTGTAAACCGGGGCCCCGACTCGTCCGGGTCCACCGCCCCGGCCGACGTTCACCTGCGTTCTTCCCCTCCCGGGGAGTTGCGGGTCCGCCCACCGCGTGCGGGAACGGCCGCTCGGGCCCGGCCTCTTGGTGGGGAGCTGCCTCTCACCCCCTGACCCCTTTCTCCCCTGCCCCTCCGCCCGGAACCCCCCCCTGTTCCCTTTCCATGTCTACCCTTTTCCTTCTCCTCGCCCTCTCCCGTCCTCCCTGGTCCCCCACTTACCTGTCCCTTCCAACCCCTTTCCCTCTCTTTCCTCCGTGTGCCTTCCCCTCACCCTAACCCACCTCCCTGCCCCTCTAAAAACCTCCCTCCCTAACGTTAAAACCTTGACCCTGGAGTGCAAACGCCGGGCTCTGACTGCAACTTCACTGTCCCTCTCGTGAGAACTTCAAATCCTCTGTCAACCTGCTCAAACCTAGATTTCCCTGCCTGTCTCCATCGCTCCTCTTGTGCCTCCCATCTTGGCCCTCCCCTCACTCCTGGCGGTGGTGTGCTAAAATACTGCCTCTCTCTTCTCTACTGGACCCCCTTCCCTTCTGGCCCGGACTTTCTTCTTCTGCTGTTCTTTCCCTTCACTTGCTGTCAACTCTCCTCCCTGCTCCGTTTGCTCCTCTTGTACTTCTTCTACACCTCTCACCCCCCTCTGCTGCTGTACGGCCTCCTAACCCCCTGGCTTCCGGGCTGCCCCCCTGCCCCCCTGGTTGCCCCACACTCAACTCCTGCGTGTCTGTGCTCCTACTCTCTTATCCCTGTAACTCTTGCACCAAACTCTTCACTTGCTCTTCACCTTTCCTACCACTACTCTCCCCCCTCCGGAGGCCCTGGCCTTGTGTGCTATCCTGCCCTACGCTTCCCCCGTTCTGCTCCTACCTGCTTCTCCTAGTCTTGCCTGCTGTTCGTTCTGTGCCCACCCCCTTGCCTCATACCTTCTTTCTTTTCCAACCTACTCCTGACCACCTGATTCTGGTGCCTGGCTGCCCCCTCAAACTCCCCCTGGCCTACTACCTGCCCCTTCCTCCCTCCCTTCTCTACCTGCCCCCTTCTGCTGTTACACCCTGCTCTCCCCCCCTACTGAAAACACCCTTCACACCTCCGCCCTGTCTTCCTTCTCCACACTTGCACTACCTCCCCAAAAACCCTACTCCCTCCTGTCCTACCCCCCTACCCGCCTGCCCTGCCTCCCCTTCTAACTTTGTGTCCTTTACCTCTGTCTCCTGCTTCCCTGTACCTCCTACCCAAACCTGGCTCCTTCTCTGCTTCCTTACTTTCCTGTCCTCTGCCCCTTTTCTGTCCCTCTGAGTGCTGCCCTACTTCCTCCTTACTCCTCCCCACCTGCCTCCCTGAAACCTGCTCGTCTCTAGCCTGCCTGCCCCTCCACTGTTCCAAACTCACCTCTCTGACTCTGGCTGTTGCCCTTCTTCTGCTTTCTCACCCCTGGTCCTCCCAAAAAACTGCAACCCCTCCTTCTCCCCACCCTGGTACTCTTTGCTGCCCCGCTATCTGCTTACCCCGGCGTAGTTTTCACCCCCCCAACTTTGGTACATCCTTGCTCTCCTGCCCTCCTGCAAAACCTCGTCCTGGTCTCTGCCACTCTACTGGGCCCCCTGCTCTCTGCCCCCCTGGTCGGATGCCTTCACTAAACCCCGCCTCTTAACTCTGCTGAAAACTAACTCCACTCTCTTTATTCTTCTGGTGGCACCTGGCCTCTCGACCCTCCCTCCCTGGGCTCTTCTTAACCCCCTCCCCCTGTACACCCCCCCACCCTGTCCTTCATGCGCTACCCCCTCCCTACGGCTGCCCCCTCTATCCTTTCTCCTGCGCTGAACCCCGCTTGCTGTCTACCTCTCCCCCTGCCCTCCTTACTCCCTCTTCTTCCCCTTATTCTGACCTAAAAAACGGACCTTTGGGTGTCCCCCTGCCGGTACTGTCTCCCTGCCCGCCGCGGTTTATCTGCCACTGCGGTAGAACGACCGCCCAATCGGTCGTCCTCCCAAACCAGCCGACTGGGCGGCCCTCCCCTTTGCCCTTGGCCTAGCCTCCTGTGACCTTTACCTACCTCTGGCTCCCCTCTGCCCCGCCCCCTCTTAAAAACTCCCCCTCTAGCCCTGCCCCTGCCCTTCTCCCCTTAGCCTGCTTCTGCCTCACCGCTTGCCTCCTCCCTAGCCTGTTCCTTTCTGGCTGTTTGATCCCTTCCTCCTCTGTACTCTCATACCCACCCTCTGACACCCCCCCTTCTGTGGCCTACTTTGCCTGCAGGGTCACCTACGCCTGCCTGCCTGCTTCGTTTCCTGCTTTTGGCGCTGCCTCTGCTGCCGGTTGGATCCCCCCCTCCCTCCTCCCTCCATCTCACACCCGTACCCCCCGTCTCGGGCCGTTGCCATACCGTCACATTCTGCGGCCGTCGGTCGTACCCTCAATAAAAACCGGGCCCCCCACCTGCCCGTCCCAGTACCGCCACAGACCGACGCTCCCACTCTTTGTCTTCCTCTTACGGGCGGGCCGCCCCTTACCCTACTGAGCCTGGGCGACCGGCTTCGTCGCCGGCCTCGTCCCGGCGCCCCCGGCGTAAACGCTGCCGGTGCCGTGGGCGCACGGGCGGCCCGGACGGCCTGCCGGCGCGCGCCGGTAAAAAAAACCCCTCCCGGGCCCGGCGCGGTCGTGCTGCTCGGTCTGGCAAAAAAACTGACGGAACACCCGGCGATCTCGAAACGCTGGTCCGCTGCCCCACCCGTGGTGTAACCGCTCGAGGCGCCTCCGAGCTCTACGGGGCAGCTAACGGACTGACTGACACCCCGACTGGCGAGGTTTGATCCGGGTCCCGTCTCGCCCCGGGTGCACCCCGGTCCGTCGGCCCAATATATTATTCATCCCCCGCCAGGGGCCACGCAGCCGTCCCGGAAACACGCGTCGATCCCGGGCACGCCGAAAACCCCCGAACCTGGCCTGATGCGCCGCTCATGGACACCTGGGTCTGCCCGTCGAACGTCCCTGGTCCTCCTCCCCTACTGCTACCTCCCTGGACCTCTGCCTCTGCGGCCTCCTCGCCTCAACCCTGGCTCCTCTCACCCTCTACTATCCTGCACCGTGCTTTACCCCGCTTGCTTGGCTGTGCCTTACTACTACCTCTGCAACCTTTCTCTGGTCTCTCCCACCCTGTTCCTGCCTCCCTCACCCCTCCCCCCTGCGGCTCCCTTCCCTCTGCCCTGCTCTGCAGAGCTCCCCACTCCCGCCTACTTGCTGCATACCCCCTCCCTTCCCCCCTCCCCCCCCTTCCTGTCAACTTCCTGCCTCCCCCCCACCCCCTGCTGTCACTAACCTCCCTTCCTGTGATACCCTCTTACCCAACTCTTTTCCCCTTTCTGTCTCCTCCCTCTCCTCCCCTGCACCTTGCTCCTTACCCTTCCCCCCTTGCGCGGGCTGTACCCTCCCTCCTGTGTTGAACTCTCTGCCCTCCTTCCTCCTTTAAGGTGGCTTGCACTGGATCTAGGTCCATCTGGTACTGTGGGTCCCAACTCTCTACGGCTCTCCCTTACTGTGCTTACCCCCGGGGTTTCCTGCACCTCCCTCCTCTACCTGCCCCAAACCCCCGCCCTGCCTTGGCCTACCCTTCTCCCCCCCTTGGCTTACCCTGTCCAAAACACCCCTACCCCCCACAGAGCTGGAGACTCCAACCCTGTCCCTCCCCCCCCTAAAAACCTGACTGAAAAACCCTCCTGTACTCCTCCTCTCTCTCCCTCCTGTCCCTGCTCCCATTTCTTTCCCACCCCTCCCCCCCGTGCCGCCCCTCTGTCCTTCCCCTCCTCTCCTCTGCCTCCCCTGGGTCTCAGGGCCCCTCTGCCTCCCACGCTGCTGGCCCCTGCTGGCCTGCCGCCTGGATCCGTACCCCTCCCCCTGGCAACGCCTCACGCCTGGTGCGCTGCGACACGCCCCTTGCACTGCTCACCGCCGGCGGTCGGTCCCCCTCGTCCTGGGTCAGTAACTCTGGTCCGGCGCCGGTGCTGGGCCCACTGTCACATCTGATCTGACTCACAACTTCGCACTGGACCTGTTTGCCCCCGGCCCCGGCCGCTGGCCCGACGCGGTGCGTAGGGCCCCTCGCCGCAGACCGCCCGCCACGCCCATCCCGGAACGCGTTTAGCCGCGGCCCACGGGCAGGAGGGGGGAGCGGGGAGCGCCGGGCTGACTGGACGTGGCTCGGCGTTGCGCGTCCGTCCCACAACGTAAACTATCTGCGGTTTCCGGCCCCACCGGTCTCGGCGCCTCCCCGGGGCCCGCCGGCGCTTCGGTTACTACAGCCCCCCTGTCGGTACGACCCCACTCAACCCTCCTCCGGCGGTCCCTCCCTCTACTCTGGCCGCCAGGGGCGGTGCCCGCCGCCCCTCCCCCTGCTTTGCCCGGCCTGCTCCCTTCTGGCCTGGCGCAGGTCGCTGGCCTCGGAGGTCTGCCGGGCGAAGGAGGACCCCCGGCGAGCGCGCTTTTACCTCGCGATTACGGCCAGGCGACAGTCAGGCGGGACGGTCCACAACCGCCCTCCCAGCGTCGTCCGACGGCCACAGCCGGGGGGCCAGGTGAGGGGCCGGCCGCCCGGCCGGGGACGTTACGGCGAGCGAGTTCCCGGTACGGTCAACGGTGCCTTCGGTCCGGGGGGGCCTCGGCTCCAGCCACTTCCGGCGAGGTCTCGGATTGGACCCAGGACGGGACGTCCCGCCGCCGCGCTTGACGTTCAACACCGCACCGCCAGGTCCGGGCAAAGCAGTCCGGGGGGTGCTGAAACTGTGGTCGTGGTCTCCGCCTCGGGTCGGCGCGGGCTCACAGTCCGGCCCGCGCCATCCATATCATCGGCCCCACCCGTCCTTTCCCCCCCGGGCCCCCGGGAGTTCCCGGACGCAGGGAATTTTAATCGGGAGGTGACAGGCCCTTCTACGTCCGCGGCCGGGTGGGAGGACGCCGCAGCTTTTTTACAGGCGGCGATTATACCCCAAAAGTGAGGGGCGCCCTCCGGCGGCGGCGGCGCCAGTGAGCACACCCCGACCTGCTACGGGTGGTGGTAGGCGCCCCCCAGCCGGCCGGCGGTAAGGGGTTCCGACTACGGCCTGATCCCGGACGACGTCGGAGCCTTCGCCCCCCAGCAGCGGTTGTGGCCGCGCGGGGCACCACCGGGCATCGCGAATCCGGGCCGGTCGCATTATTCGGCACCCGCGGCGAGCGGTCGGTCCCCGCGCCCGCGGCCCCCGACGCGGCCGGGGGCCGCGGGCCACCCCGTCCCACCCCCCTAACGCGCCGGTAAACACCCGATCGCAGGTGCCGCCGTCCCGGGCCGGCGGGAGTCGGGAACCAGGACCGGCGGCCTGTCACCCCCGGCGGCTCACCCAGCCCGCCGGACGGCCGGGTACGGGTCTTATCCCCGCGGCCGCGCACCCGGTCCTGGCCCGGCCCTCGCGGGATCGGGACATTCCCTGCAGTGGGGTTATCCACTAAAGATCCCCGCCGTACGGACTCGTGCGCCGTCCACCGGCGGCACCGCGGCGGTAGCGCCGAACCCGCCCCCCGTGCGACTTGCGCCTCCCCCGTCCGGAAGCCCCTGGAGACCATTCGGCGGCCGACCCTCCCCCCACGCACGCCCACCCCGGGGGCCCGGATAATATCTAACCCCGGCGTGCCCCGAGCCCACCGTCCCCCCGCGAGCGGCCGGTCGCCGGGCCCCGCCCAGCCGGTAACCGTTCCGGACGGTATACCCGGCCACGCCGTTCGGGCGGGCTCACGCCTTCGGCCTGTACGGCGGAAATTCACCGGGACCCGGCGTTCGTAGCCCCGCTTGGGCGCCCGCGGGGTGGGCCCAGAGCCCTACGCCCCCCGGCCCAGGGGGGGGAGCGGCCACCCCCTGAAATCCCCCGGCGGTCGGCTCCGTGGCGGGCCCCGACCTTCGACCGCCTCAAACCCACTCGCTGTCCGTGGTGAAACTCCCCTGGCCCCCGTTCTCCGCACTCGGGCCGGTGCTCGGACGCGGCGGCTTCCCGGGGCCTCGGCGTGGGGCACGGTGGCCCCGGCAGTCTCCCCGGTTACGACGGCGCGTGGCCGAAGAGGGTGGCGGCACGGGCGTGTCCACGCTGGCACGGGCGAACCTACAGCCTCGAAGGAGGCAGGGCCGTCCAACAAACTAAACCCCGGACCCCCCACCCTGACCTTTCTGGCTACCTCTCCTCCCCTGTGTGCTGGAACCCTCTCCACTGTCCCTGGCCTGGGGGTTGGCTACCGGGTCCCTGCTACTGTGGCCTCCGGCCTGCCTCCCTAACCCAACCCCCCCTCCTGGCTGTCACTGGTCGCCTCCCGTTCTGCCCCTCCTCTGCCGTGACCTCTCTAGCACCTCTCCCGCCTGAAACCTCTGCTACTTCTTTGTAGCTTTTCTCCTGTCCCTTTCCCCCTCCCTGTTCAAAAAACACCTGCTGCACCCCGCTGCCCGTGCTCCCTGTGCTCTATGCTCCATCCTCTCCCCCGCTCGGCTGCGCCCCTGTTTGGGCCTGCTGCGGCCTCCCTAATCTCTCGTCGACCACTCTCTCCCTTGCCCCCCACACCCCACGTCCCGCCCATCGTCCCCCCCCACGCGATCCGGGTCGTCGCCGCAAGTTCTGCGTGGCGTGCTCGCCGGCGAGATATAAACAAATCGCGCTCGCCATGATCACCCCCCCTCCTCTCACCCCTGGCCTCTGTACTCTGCCTCCTGTGCCCGGCAACGCGGCACCCGGGCTGATAAAAAACGTGCCCGGTTTGCCGGGGCTGGGCCGGAATTAACCCTGTGCCGGTTGCTCTGTTTGCGACGCCCAAAATCGGCCCTTGCCGAGGTCCGGTGCCCGGCTGGGACCGCCTGAAACTTGGTTCTGTGTGGTGGGCCTTGAGACCCCTGCCTCCTTATAACTCTGATCTTCAAAAAAACTCTACTTGCTCCACTTCTGCCCACCTCTGTGCCGCACCTTCCTGATAATCCTGGTCCGCCCCGTTTCATCCCGTCCCTTGCTGCGGTTCTTGTCCATTGCTGTTACTGTCCTCCTCCTCTGGCCTCCTCGTCTTCCCCAACCCCCTTCACTTGACTGTCTTTACCTGTCGTGCTTCCTCGGTGGGCCCTCCCTCCCCTCCCTCAAACTTCCACTCCCTTGCGCTGCCTTCTTGCTTGCCCCCCCCACCTGTGTCTCTTCCTGCGCCTCCGCCCTCCTCACTGGGTCTCCTGGTGCCCCCACCTGGTTGCCTACGTTCCCCTTTGTTCTCCTTCCTTCCCTGCCCTTCTTCTGGTGTTTGACTGACTGCCCCTGACTACCATCCCTACTTTTGTCCCTTTCTCCTGCCTTTCTTCATGCCTTCCCTTCTCCTCTTTTTCCCTGCCCCTACCTCCCTCTCCCCTCCTCAACACCTCCTTTACCACCCACCCTCCAAACACTTTGTCCTACTCGCTGGTCTCCTACTCGTCCACACTGTCTACCCTACTTACTCTCTCCTCTGTGTATCTTCTAAACCTCTCTCTACTTGACCCTACTGCCTCCCCTGTGTACCTGTCTTAAACATAACCTAACCCCCCCCTGTCCCCCCAACGTCTGCCTAACCCTCCCTCCTGGACCTCTCCCTCCCTCTCGCCTCTTTCCCTCACTGCCTCCTCACCCCCCCCACTTAGCCCATGACCTAGCTACCCTCCTGCTGCTCCTGTTCTTGATTCCTTGTTGTGATTGGCTGAGGAAGAAGGGGGCGTGGTCCTGTGACGTGTGTGTGTAGTCTACCAGTCTGAAGTTACGCTTTAGCTTTTTCTCTGTACGTAAATAATTTTGCAACGTTTTTTATCCAAAAGTCGGCAAAGTCGCTGATCACAGCCCTTTTTTTGTCCTTTTTACGACTTATAAATCGTTCCAGTTTCTGCCCCTTTCTCACAAACATATTTTTGCAAAGTTGCTGAAAGGGAGCCACTGATCTAAACATTTGACATGAATATTAACACATGGATGTGAAAACCAGTGATAGAACTGTTTTTAGAGACTCTGAGACAAATTCTGTGGATTTTATCAATGTTTTTGTGGTTGGAAAGTTGTGGATCTCAGCTTTAAACTTATCACTACAAACAAACAATACATATTTAGCATTTATTTAAAACATTAGCAATAGTGTGGGCCGTTTATCAGCGGAAACTGCTGCTTCAACAATATTATCTGGTAATTTTGACTTTGATGGATCTCTCCCAGCAGCAGCAGCAGCAGCAGCAGCAGCAGCAGCAGCAGCAGCAGCAGCAGCAGCAGTTAGTAGTAGCAGCAGCAGCAGCAGGAGTATCAGCAGCAGCAGCAGCAGAAACAGCAGCAGCAGAAGCAGTAGCAGCAGCAGCAGCAGCAGCAGCAGCAGCAGCAGCAGCAGCAGCAGCAGTATCAGCAGCAGCAGCAGCAGCAGCAGCAGCAGTTAGTAGTAGCAGCAGCAGCAGCAGCAGGAGTATCAGCAGCAGCAGCAGCAGAAACAGCAGCAGCAGAAGCAGTAGCAGCAGCAGCAGCAGCAGCATCAGCAGCAGCAGCAGCAGCATCAGCAGCAGCAGAAGCAGTAGCAGCAGCAGCAGCAGCAGCATCAGCAGCAGCAGAAGCAGCAGCAGCAGCAGCAGTAGCAGCAGCAGTATCAGCAGCAGCAGCAGCAGCAGCAGCAGTAGCAGCAGTAGCAGCAGCAGTATCAGCAGCAGTAGCAGCAGCAGTATCATCAGCAGCAGCAGCAGTATCATCAGCAGCAGCAGCAGCAGTATCATCAGCAGCAGCAGTATCTCTCTCTCCTGCTGTATTGTATCAGGACAATAGGACGTTGCTGCTGCGATCCGTCTTGTCGCTGCAGACTGAGATTTACCTCCGAGTGGAGACAGCGCCGCGGCCTCGCACCGTTCCACAACAACACAACCATTTATCCACCGCCACTGACAGCAGGGAGCAAGAGGGTGAGAGAGGGGGGAGGGAGGGAGGAGAGAGGGAGGGAGGGAGGGAGGAGGGAGGAGGGAGGAGAGAGGAGGGAGAGAGGAGGGAGGGAGGGAGGAGAGAGAGACGTGAGATGGAGCTGAGATAGAGGAGAAATGTAGGAGAGAGGGAGGAGGGGGAGTAAGAAAGGAGGAGAGAGGGATGAGGGGGGGGTAAGAAAGGAGGAGAGAGGGATGAGGGGGGGTAAGAAAGGAGGAGAGAGGGATGAGGGGGGGTAAGAAAGGAGGAGAGAGGGATGAGGGGGGAGTAAGAACGGAGGAGAGAGGGATGATGGGGGAGTAAGAAAGGAGGAGAGAGGGATGAGGGGGGGAGTAAGAAAGGAGGAGAGAGGGATGAGGGGGGGGTAAGAAAGGAGGAGAGAGGGATGAGGGGGGGTAAGAAAGGAGGAGAGAGGGATGAGGGGGGAGTAAGAAAGGAGGAGAGAGGGATGAGGGGGGTAAGAAAGGAGGAGAGAGGGATGAGGGGGGGTAAGAAAGGAGGAGAGAGGGATGAGGGGGGGTAAGAAAGGAGGAGAGAGGGATGAGGGGGGGTAAGAACGGAGGAGAGAGGGATGAGGGGGGAGTAAGAACGGGGAGAGAGGGGATGAGGCGGGGTAAGAACGGAGGAGAGAGGGAGGAGGGGGGGTAAGAAAGGAGGAGAGAGGGATGAGGCGGGGTAAGAACGGAGGAGAGAGGGATGAGGGGGGAGTAAGAAAGGAGGAGAGAGGGATGAGGGGGGGTAAGAAAGGAGGAGAGAGGGATGAGGGGGGAGTAAGAAAGGAGGAGAGAGGGATGAGGGGGGAGTAAGAACGGAGGAGAGAGGGATGAGGGGGGGAGTAAGAAAGGAGGAGAGAGGGATGAGGGGGGGTAAGAAAGGAGGAGAGAGGGATGAGGAGGGGTAAGAAAGGAGGAGAGAGGGATGAGGGGGGGGTAGTAAGAAAGGAGGAGAGAGGGATGAGGGGGGGGGTAAGAAAGGAGGAGAGAGGGATGAGGGGGGGGTAAGAAAGGAGGAGAGAGGGATGAGGGGGGAGTAAGAAGGAGGAGAGAGGGATGAGGGGGGTAAGAAAGGAGGAGAGAGGGATGAGGGGGGGTAAGAAAGGAGGAGAGAGGGATGAGGGGGGGTAAGAAAGGAGGATAGAGGGATGAGGGGGGGGTAAGAACGGAGGAGAGAGGGATGAGGGGGGAGTAAGAAAGGGGAGAGAGGGATGAGGGGGGTAAGAAGGAGGAGAGAGGGATGAGGGGGGGTAAGAAAGGAGGAGAGAGGGATGAGGGGGGAGTAAGAAAGGAGGAGAGAGGGATGAGGGGGGAGTAAGAAAGGAGGAGAGAGGGATGAGGGGGGGAGTAAGAAAGGAGGAGAGAGGGATGAGGGGGGGTAAGAAAGGAGGAGGAGAGGGGGATGAGGGGGGGTAAGAAAGGAGGAGAGAGGGATGAGGGGGGGAGTAAAAAGGAGGAGAGAGGGATGAGGGGGGGTAAGAAAGGAGGAGAGAGGGATGAGGGGGGGTAAGAAAGGAGGAGAGAGGGGATGGGGGGGGGTAAGAACGGAGGAGAGAGGGATGAGGGGGGAAGAACGGAGGAGAGAGGGATGAGGGGGGTAAGAAAGGAGGAGAGAGGGATGAGGGAGGGTAGAAAGGAGGAGAGAGGGATGAGGGGGAGTAAGAAAGGAGGAGAGAGGGATGAGGGGGGGAGTAAGAGAAGGAGGGAGAGGGAGATGAGGGGGGAGTAAGAAAGAGGAGAGAGGGAGCGGGGGGAGTAAGAAAGGAGGAGAGGGATGAGGGGGGTAAGAAAGGAGTGAGAGAGAGGATTGAGGGGGGGTAAGAAAGGCGGAGAGAGGGAGAGGGGGAGTAAGAAAGGAGGAGAGAGGGATGAGGGGGGAGTATTAAAGGAGGAGAGAGGGATGAGTGGGGGAGTATGAAAAGGAGGAGAGGGGATGAGGGGGGGGGTGTCAGAATAGGAGGAGAGCGGGTATGAGGGGGGGTAGAAAGGAGGAGAGGGATGAGGGGGGAGGAAGAAAGGAGGAGAGAGGGATGAGGAGCGAGTAGAAAGGAGGGACAGAGGGAGAGGGGGGGGTAAGAAAGGAGGAGGAGAGGCGAAGAGAGGAGCAGAGAGAAGCAGAGAGAGGAGCAGAGAGAGGAGCGAGAGAGGAGCAGAGAGAGGTGCCAGAGAGAGGGAGAAGAGAGCAGGAGAGAGAGAGAGCAGAGAGAGGAGCAGAGAGAGGAGCAGAGAGAGGTGCAGAGAGAGAGGAGCAGAGAGAGGAGCAGAGAGAGGAGCAGAGAGAGGAGAAGAGAGAGGAGCAGAGAGAGGAGCAGAGAGAGGAGCAGAGAGAGGTGCAGAGAGAGGAGCAGACCAGAGAGTGGAGCTGGGTCTAAGCCAGAGCTGTAGGATTCATGTGGTGGTGGTTCAGAACCTGACGCTTTTAGAAAAAAACCTGCAGCAAGAGGACTGCAACAACTGGCTGCTATCGTGTCTCTCTCTCTCTCTCTCTCTCTCTTGTTGTCAGGGTGTTGTCGGGCTCTCTCTCTCTGCTCTGTTTGTCTCTCCCTCTGTCTCTCTCTCTCTCTGCTCTGTTTGTGTCTCTCTCAATCTCTCTCGCTCTCTCTCTCTCTCTCTCTGTTTGTCTCTCTCTCAGTCTCTCTCACCGTCTCTCTTGCGTCTCTCTCTCTCTCTCTCTCTGCTCTGTTTGTCTCTCTCTCCGTCTCTCTCGCTGTCTCTCTCTCTCTGCTCTGTTTGTCTCTCTCTCAGTCTCTCTCTCACTCTCCTCTGTTTGTCTCTCTCTCAGTCTCTCTCTCTCTCTCTCTCTCTCTCTCTGCTCTGTTTGTCTCTCTCTCCGTCTCTCTCGCTGTCTCTCTCTCTCTGCTCTGTTTGTCTCTCTCTCAGTCTCTCTCGCCGTCTCTCTATCTCTGCTCTGTTTGTCTCTCTCTCAGTCTCTCTCGCCGTCTCTCTCTCTCTCTGCTCTGTTTGTCTCTCTCTCAGTCTCTCTCGCCGTCTCTCTCTCTCTCTGCTCTGTTTGTCTCTCTCTCAGTCTCTCTCTCTGTCTCTCTCTCTCTCCTCTCTCAGTCTCTCTCTCAGTCTCTCTGCTTGTTTGTCTCTCTCTCAGTCTCTCTCTCTCTCTCTCTGCTCTGTTTGTCTCTCTCTCAGTCTCTCTCTCTCTCTCTGCTCTGTTTGTCTCTCTCTCAGTCTCTCTCTCTCTCTCTGCTGTCTCTCTCTCCGTCTCTCTCTCTCTCAGTCTCTCTCTCTCTCTCTATGCTCGTTTGTTCTCTCTCCGTCTCTCTCTCTCTCTCTCTGCTCTGTTTGTCTCTCTCTCCTGTCTCTCTCTCTCTCTCTCTGCTCTGTTTGTCTCTCTCTCAGTCTCTCTCTCTCTCTGCTCTGTTGTCTCTCTCTCAGTCTCTCTCTCTCTCTGCTCTGTTTGTCTCTCTCTCCGTCTCTCTCGCTGTCTCTCTCTCTCTCTGCTCTGTTTGTCTC